TTGAGATCCTTTGCAACAAAGAAGTTCTCAGAACTGAAACTGAGGGTTTTGGATGTCATATAATTGTGTTGAAGTAGACAGTGGGGGGGGGGGTCATAGCCTACTTTGGAAACAATTAGTAGACGCATGTCTTCGGGCATGAATTCAAGGGTGAGGGTATTATGTTGTTTTCGATTCATGAAACTCATCGGAAAATGATCGAGGTTTTTTTTTTATTCTAACGCTGTCCTTATTAGTTTATTTGTGTTGTGCATTTGTTTATATAGGACGTTGGACACGGTGTTGATTGTAACATCGTTTACGTTTTTAAATATAATTATTGAAAGCCATAATTTTGCGTTGAATTTCTTTGCGGTTTGATTGTAATTATTTATGTTGTACCGTTGCATGTATGCTGAGTGGGTTGATGTGTAATTTATGGTTATTAAAAATTAACCGACCGAATTTCCTTGTGATTTTGCTTGGTTTTAATACTTATAATATAATTTGAAAAGTAATTTATATGTGGGTATCGAATAAACCTTTTTTGTTTGCTTGACATTAGATAAGTTTGTATTTGTTGCAAACGCCATAGATTTGTGGAATAATTTTAAAATTATTTTGAGGGTTTGATTTACCTTTTTAGGTATTTATTATCATTATCTGAAATATCTAAATAGATGTGTGTAACGTGGCATTGAACGCAAAAAAAACTTCAAATTGCTTTAATTTTGGTATTATAGATGATTTATGCCATTATTTGTTGTGTTTCCGTTTTAACAACTTAAAAAAAATTTGGGCATCTACCATACAAAATAGCCAGCCCAACAACAACCACAAAACCGACAAACAGAAAACCAATTGAAATCGAAACGGGAGAGATAAATTTTGTTTGGTCTATTTAGTTTAGGTTATTGTTGACATGGCTTTTTTTGCCCCCCTCACAAATGCTGATGTGGATGCATGAGAAGGGAGAGAAGTCTACTTTATTGTATAAGATATATATGTGGAAGCACCGTAGCATAGTACTAGTTAAGGTTTAAAAGCTTTTACATCATATTTAGGGTTCGAAACACAACTACGCAGTTTTTATACTAAAAGAGTTTCAATTCACCGGAGAAGGTGAATGACGAATTATACAAGATTGAGGAAAAAGTTTAGAAGACATCTTCAGAATGGCACAAAGAGAACCATCAGAAATGAATCTCATAGGACGGCTCAGGGTGATGTAGTCAGACGTGAATCCGTATAAGGTAGGTAGAACTGTCGACTGTAATATTACCTATGTAATATTTCTCATAATTTGTAATGCCTAATTATCCAATGTTATGTATATATATATGTTCGAATCAAGTTCAATTAATAGTACTCTGAGTTTAATCGTCAAATTCATTTTGAATTCGGTTAATAATAGTTTAACTTCATAATGAAAATAAATATAAACTTGATTATTTGAAATTATTTAAGTTTTAAATACTTATTTATATACTAGTTCAGATTTTGCATTATTATTTTAGTCATTTAGGCTACTCAGATTTTTTAGTTGCTCTGAGTATATTTTATACCATTTTACATGATGTGCTTGAGTAGAAATGGTAATCATGGATCTAGACCGCGGGTTTAACCTGTAAATTATTGTCACGGAGTGATATGGAGACAAGTTTTTCTAGGTCTTTAAATTTGCTAGTCTCGCAGGAGGGGCTTTGTGAGATTGGATCTTTTGCAGGATGGGCCAAAACAGGTCATGTGAGATTACAAAAACCCGCATTTTTTTTTTCATTTCTTGTTTTACCTGCAAAAAACAAGAAGGAGAGTGAAAAGAAGACGATTCCTGTTACTCCCCTCGAGAAAACTTAAAGAGCTCCAATGATGATGATTCGAGCTCCGGCGAAGATGACTTCAGCTTCGATGATGACGACTCCAGTTTCGGTGATGACGACTCCAGACGATGATGATTCGAATTTTGGTGGTCTTCGGATTTGATTTTCTGTTTTTATTGAAATTTGGATTAGCAGCTTTGATTTGGTGTTTAATATTATTTAATTTTTGGATTCAGCTAACTAAAATATTGGTTATATACTTAATAAGATAGTGGAAAATATATTATGCAGTTATCTTTACTTTGTATGTTAATATGTTTTGGGTGTGACAAAAATAATTACAACTATTGTTTTGAATAAAAATAAGCAACTCAATGATTGATGAATTATGTCTAGTTGAATTGACGACTTAAATCATGTCCTAAAGTGATCTGGAGCGTTTTCGAGTGGGCTGGAGCGTTCTTCTGTGAATATTATCACATCTCCCACGAACCGATCTGTAAAGGCTTGTACATATAATGGGACGGGTTTGAACAACCATTATAGAGACCGCAATTCGCATAGGCCTAATCTGTTGTGATCCGCTTAAAAAATCCCATTACAATCTGGAATAGGATGGGACAAGACAACATGTTTGCATCTTTATGTTTGAGTATTTTTTACAACTAAGATCATATATGGATTCAGATTCTGTTTGGATCTTGTATTTTCTGAGGCCGAACTTTGGATTTATGTTTGTAAAAGACGTTTAAACTCTGGATATTTGTGTATTTTCATTTAGAGTACTAAGTTCACCAATAATTCAATAAATTAATTTCACTCCAAAAATTCAAATCATAATTTACATTTTAGAAGACCGTAAGCTATAACAATACCCATTATGAAAGAATGATCTACTTGGGGCTCCACCACCATTGTCAAAACATCTTCTCCAAATTCTAAACCTCTGATATCAGATTGTTTCTTGTTAACTTCTGCCATTAATCTTCCTGATCCATCTTCGATTGTGAAAACCGATCCACGGATTACAATCTTATAAGAAGATTGCACATCATCTTTACTGGATCCCATTATAACTTTGTAAGACGAAGATGAACTTCTTGGCGAAATCTTGAAGTTCTTTCGTAGTGTAAATCTTGTCCCGGTTGAGTTGTCTCCTTTGCAAGATTTAAATAGTCCTAACGTTTGTTGAAATTTAAACAAGACTTCTCCGTATAAGTCCATAAGGTATACTTCACTGCAACTCTTGGAATCATAGTTATCCACTCGGTAGATTAAGTTTCCTTTGGAATCAAAAACTGTACAGCCTTTGCTATGGAACACCAGAGATCTCATCCAAATCGTGAAACTTTTTTTCTCCGTCGTCAAGTACGTCGAAGTCTTGCCTTCTCCGGCGTATGCTTCCACCGGTGATGATTGGATAGGATGAATCTTCATATTGTTCTTCGCTGGACAAACACAAATACGGTCGTTGCTTTTATATTTGGGACTGATTGATGATTGGTAGTACTCTTCGTATTTATACTAAAAAAAAAGGATATGCAAGGTCTTACACCACATGTTCAATGTGAAAATACGAACATTAATATTGATAAATAACAATTTAACAGACGAATACTCTTTTAAATTTTACAGAAACACGTATTCATACATTTAGGGGTCGTTGTAACGTGGATAATGTGAGATTCGAATAATAGAGTCATGGACATACAATACAATAATAATTTAGTTTCAATTATTATTCCTTGCTGAAAGTTTCTTGGAATGGTACTGCAGGAGAACAGTTTAGCACATTGAATTCTTCAAAACTGTTCTTTATTAATAACTAGATTTTGATCCGCGTTTAAAAAACGTAAAAACATTTTATAATTAAAAATTTATATAATTGAGTTTTGTCTTAATTTAAAATATGTTTTCGTATAAAATTAGTTTACCAAAATTTGTGGTGATAGTTGTTTTTCATTAGTTTTTAGTTTTAGTTTTTATTTTTAGATTTTGTTTTAAATTTTGGTTTTTGGTTTTTAGTTTTTAAGTTTCTATTTTTGATTTTCAGCTTTTGGTTTGGGTTTTAATTTTT